CAGAGGAAAAACAAACGTTCTTTGCAGCGACTTCGCAAATAGTGTTCTCCAGCCGATCAATGTTCATCAGTAATCTTACATATAAATTAACTCATCTGACCAACCCTGTATGTATTTATCAATTTATCTTCTCTTGTAGAGCCAGATATATAGGTCATTCGACGCGTACTTTATTCAAAAAAATTCATGAACATTACCCGGCTTGGACAAAATGAGGTGTAAACAGCTCAATAATTGGACATCATGTAAAGACACGTCACTCAGTCAAATCGGACTCTGCGTTCACAGTCATCTACAAGGTAAGTAGAAAGCTGCCAAAGGTAGTTATATCGCATCTCATTACCACTATCGAAGCACTCGCTATTCATCTGGAAAAAACCAGAATTATGTGTCCAAAAGAAACTAGTACAACCTCTTCTTCTACAGTGGTCCTAATGTCTCATAATTTTCTTTCTCCTTTATACTTTTCTACCTTCATAGCCATCTACTTCCCCTTCTATCATCTCTATAGACGCTTCATTCCCAACTCATTTATTTATGTTTCTATGATCTTCCTGAATTCATTTCATCTCAGTTTCATGCTAAGCCACCCTTTCCCAATTATAATTTCCCTATCTATCTTCATGATGAATATTTAAGGCCTTAACAATAAAATCATTGTTTTCCCTGATAAAAATAAAGTTTATTCTACCTAACTGTTACCATGCTTAATAGAATTTTATTATCACTATTATTGTAATTAATATCATGTAAAATTAGTATTTATTTACGACTATATAACTTTGAAAATGATTTCGCCGAAAAGAGAACTCTCCGCTGAACTAGTCTCTCTTGCTTTGTGGTTTGGAATTAACTTAAAAAAAGATACACAGTTTATTGGGAAAAAGTTAAGTGGTTTGGAGCATATTTCATACAATTTGAAGGTGGATTTCACCCTATATTGATATCAGCCGGAAAATGGCTTAAAAAAGCAGGTGTTGGATAGTTATTTTGTTCTCGTTTGTGATTTCCACTTTCCACTGAGGTAGGTTTCTATATGCCCTTGACCTGTGAACTAAATCAAGTAGATGGTAGGGTAATCGGTCACCTGCGTTAATGTCTATTTATCATCCTGTTCATATATTAGTTGAAAGTGCAAAGATAGACTACTTTAAACTATTAACTTAATATTCTAAGGGTGTTGTTTCTCTAGAAATAACGGGAATTGTTTTGTGTTAAATCATCTGAGAGGGTCGGAATTGTACACTGTAGAGGAGTTTCAACATTGGACAAAACAGATTCTTCTTCAGGGTTGTCGCGCTTTTAGTCATTCTACACCTTATAAATTTCTAGTGAAAATTACCTTTAAATAACAAGATAAGTATTTACTAGACACTAGGGCAAAGTGTGCAGTTATTTATTTGTAACAACAAGTTATTCCACTCTTCATTGCTGTTTAGTTTTTTTAATGTCAACTTATAATTCGTGATAAGATTGCAGTTTATAGTTCTAGATTTTATTTACCAGTACTTATATATTGTTGAAATGGTTCCAACAAATATTTGTTGCGTTATAAGTCTATGCTAGTTATCAGTTTGACTCGAGAAGTAGGTATTAGAAAAATGTAGTTATTAGATCAAGAAAATGTGGATACACATTTGTTTTCTGTACTGCACTGTATCCCACAAACATTAAGTAATAATGTTATATGTTATGTTAAGCAAGTAACCTTTTGGATGAAAACATTAATATTTCTGAAATGTAAGTCCTTTAGTTATGAATGACTTGACTATTTATTCAGTAGTAAACGTGAACCAAGGAAAATTCTCATTTGGATTATCGTCTGAAACTTGCTTAGAATTAATGAGCTTCAGTCTGGTAATCGTCTAATATTTCATCATTTTTTACTTACGTGAGTTCAATTATTTGACTCAACAATCAATCGATAGTAACTTTAAAAATTTCTTACAAAAACTAGTCACTATACCTTTTGTAGGCATGTGAATTTCGAAAATCATGCACTTCAGTTAAGTTTCACAGAGGTAGATTACGTAAAAAGATAGTTGGATTTTTTTATATTGTGATCAAGAGGATTTCATCGAGTTTAATTTGCCTATCATGGATGTTGATTGGTGATCTATCATATACACAAATTGACCTTAAAAATGTGTTTGACATAAGTATTTGTGAGTGCGGCGCTGAACAACACCCGTCGGGGTTCAAAGTAACTATGGGTATATTTCGGTGAAGTTTGTCATCAAAGATGAAATCTATTTGAGATATCTCTCTCTAGTTGTTTCAGATGAATCCAACAATTGTTTCTTTTTATGTCATTCTATCTTTGACTTGAAGTAGTCAATTAACTCAAGGCACTGTATTGCATCCTATATATTGAGTTAATTCAGTTGTTGAACAATACCGTGTTTTAACCCAGTATTTATGTCTTCCCTGTGAAAGATATTTTAAGTTCAGATAATTTGTTGCACCAATGGTCAATCCGTAGATTGGTTATTGTCATTTTGGATATTATATGTATTGAGTATTTTAATAGTCAACGAACTCTTGGTATAAACTTTTCAGTTAAGTTATTTGGTGATAAAATGTTTTTATCTGTGATGCCAGTTAGTGTGTGCTGTCTAATGTAAGATGTACGAAATAAATTGTCTTTTGGGATCTGATGTTTTGCGTTCATTAGAAACAAGAACTAGCTGATATAAATTGTATCCCATGCCCTAATTAAGAACTTATTATTATCAACATGGTGTTAAGCGTGGGATTGTTTGCTATTATACTAAGAGATATATAAACCGTGAATTATAAACGGGAAATCTATGAAAATTTCATTAATCTTTGTAAAAATTAAATGTGAACTACTCAAAATATGTGTATCTTTCTATAAGCAGGAAGAAATATTTTTATAAATCTCTAGACAATCTTTACACAGTATCTCCATCCTAGTTAGAACTAGGTCTATTAAGTTTGAGTGAAACTACAGAGAATGATTGTTGTTATTCCCAAAGATAGCAAACATATAAAACTGTCGAAACAAGACGTCCATTGAACTTAGATTTACTAATTCCCCTTTTTTAACAGTTTATTTGGACGGTAGATTATTTTTAATTCTTCAACAAGTCGGAATTTATGAAGAAAGACAATATAGTTTGTTTAAATAAATATTGAAGTCCATTGTTAACCAAGTATCTCTAGAGTGTATCCAAACTAGTAGAATTCACCTCCCAACTTCAGTAACAGAGTTAATACTTGATGATTAATTAAAGTATGATACTTTTATACACAGCCAAAATGAGTGTGTGAACAGATGAACTGTGATATTATGTGACTGATCGATATTCCAATTCAATTTTTACCAGCCAGGTATCTAAAACTGGTATGATAAAAAAACAAGACACACATAAATAAATACAATATTCACAGACATACATGGCATTTGTGAAGGGAGGAGCAGGAGCGAGGGTAAAACAGACGATGAATTCTTTATATATAACAGCTACCAAATAAACTTTATTGAGAAAAGTTCTTACAATGTTAATTCTACAAGACAACAGTTTCTTACAGGTTACCAAACGATAGTTAGTGAGAAATAACAAGAATATGAGTTTGGTGTTTGTATTAGAAAATTCTTGCTAGCCCTCAGAGTTATTGTAGTATCGATTTTTAGGCGTCACAATTAACCAATAACATAACAGTGTGAAATATTTTAAATTTATATTGATTTTGAATAGATCAGTAGTACAACACATTAAGTACTTTATTTACTCGATCTATTGCTTTATAACAACTACACAGCTATTAGTAGTAGTAGCGTGGGCGGCGACCAGTCGAATTAGCGAACTGGAAAATATTTCTTAAAAGAATAAAATGGAAAATAGTGAAACTGTTGCACCAGTAGTAGGTAATGTTTTTTTCCAGAAAGTATTTATGAATAAGGAAGCATAACTTCTGAAAATTCCGTTAGCATAAACTAGATGATCAGTGTCCACTTGGTTAGAAATAATAAATTGTGAGAAACACCAAACGATGATAGGGTATATCAATTCGCATGACTCCTTTTTCCTGATGTTTTATCAAAATCAATAAAGGCGTTTGTGTAAACACTAGGTATTTATAGCAATGTCTTCCTGTTTGTACAGCGACCTTTGCTTCTTAGCTTAGTATTACGGCTTGAAATTATAGCTGTTCATATTTCATAAACGATGTCCCTCACTTACATCCCACCGATCACAACCTACTATGGTGAAAGGAATATTACTCAATTACCTAGAAATTTCGAAAAAGTCGGTACCCTCGCAGACATTCGGTCGTTAAATCGTAAGTTAAACCAGTTACATGAAGAAGAGATTTATATTTCTTGCCACTCTAGCAGTACAATATGAGGCCAAATTTAATTAATTACGTCTATTACCCTTCGTAGAACAAAGGTCAATGACCAGGATGAATCTAACTAATAGTGAACCAATAATTGTAAATTAAGCAACTAATCAATGAGATACAGCTTCACTTGAACTGTTACAGCATATTTATCGGGCATTTTCTCCATTAACTCTAGTATTAGTAAGTTAAAGATGTAAAACCTCAAGCCAAACTGGCAAATAGACCCATTGAACTAAGAGGACATGGAAAGGTACATTGGTTCCGGCTGATCATTAACTACCGTCTGCTAGTTAATACGACTAGTCAGCAACCCGAACAAATGTTTATAACAACTTGAATTATCATCCTGAAGAAAATAAATGATATTATCATTATAATGGGGAATTGAAACTGTTAACTCAAACAGTAAACCTATTAAAAGTATTGCATAGACATAAGAGAACATCAAAGTCGAGTCATAACTTAAATGATAACAAACGTTATCTAACATAACTCATAAACCGTCTTACAATAATCTAGTTGATAAGTCACTCAGACTTATCCCGTATGAACAAACCAGTTAGATACAATGATAATCTATCCGATGAACTTAAAGCTTAACCAATATACTAACTTAAAGTAAATTTTGTTTATGAATACAATAAAAAATTTTCTTGAGATGAACAACAACAAAAACTCAAATCACAAGTGAAACTTATCTCGATCAAATTTTGTAATAAAAAAAAAAACAAAAAAACTATTGAGTTTCAAAACCAATAAGTTACATTCAAAACATAAAAATTGTCTACAAGTATATACGGTAATATAAAACCAACTATCATAATGAGTTGTTTATACAATTATAGATTTCGTTTATCATTCGTTATCACAAACAAGCATGTTAGTAAATTATAATTAATTATAAACCAACCAATGATGCATAATAAGCCATTATAAAGATGATAATGATTTTCTTAAACTGATAATGATAATAATTTATACAAAATATGAAAGTAGAAAATGACTAAATTCTTATTTTTTTTTAAAAAAAAACAAAATTTCTAGAAAAGAAAATAAACCAAACAAACAAAACAATGAAGAATAGAAAAGTATGAAAAAAAACAACCAAACAATAGCTGTCTAATATTGGTAGAAAAGAAAACAGTGATATGATAAAACTTCTTTTGGGAAAACAATAATAGTAATAACAACTGGCTTTTTAGGAATTTATACTAGTGCATATTTGATGTGATTGTGAGCAAATGCTAGATTGTTCTTGTTGTTGAGAAACCAGAATGCATAGTTTCTCTTGAGAATCACTTTCATCTTGTTTGATAGCAATTTCAGGAGTATTATTATTATTGTTGTTATTATTAGTGGTGTTTTGACATGATATTTGTATCTGCTCACCATTTGTATTGTCGTGTTTATTAATTTGATCTAAATAATCTAAACATTCAGCTGAACTTAGTTTCACAGTAAGATTTGTACGTGGATCACAACCAGGATGTGTTAGTTCAATATGTCGAACAAGATGATCTTTACGATAATAAGATTTATCGCATATTTTACATACAAAAGGTTTGAAACCAACATGACGAAGAGAATGACGTTGAAGATTGGATCGTTGAGTAAATTGTGCACCGCATATAGTACACTTAAATGCTTTATGCACTGCGAAGGTATGTTCACATAGTAAAGTTAATGATGTAAATGGTTTTCGACACTGATTGCATATAAATGACTTAGCATATCGACGATTATGGATACTTGAATCGTCTGTTGAGTTTACGGATTCTCTGGTGGAATTCTTAGAAAGTGAATTAGATGACGTTGTATGTTTTGATTGAGGCGAAATAACTGTCTGTAAATTACAACTATTAACAGGACGGGGAATAGGCTGTTTATCAGTGCAAATTCGAGGTAAAATAGGACGATGGACAGTTGATAGTACTGTTACAGGTAGGGAGAAAACACTCACATGAGGAAGAAGTGTAACTGCTGAGACAGGTAAAAATAAACCATTTGTTGGCCCACTTTTCATCGGCGTTACAATTTCAGTGACTGCTTTTGAAATTGGTTGAGCTGGAACGGAAGTTGTTGATGTAGCAGTTGCAGCAGGTGAAGGTTCAGTAGGATCAGAAACAACAGAACTTTGAGGTATTTTACATGGTCGACTTAGCTTCCGTTTACGTCGTGAGATCGAAAAGCCGTACTTCTTTATAACGTCATCAGCTTGTGTTTTAATCGGTGAAATCGACTCTGTAGATGTATCCATAATTCCTGAATCTGATAAATCTTGATTAGGACTGTCGTTTTCGAAAGAATGATCATTTGTTTTCTCATAAGTTTGGTTAACAAGTAAACATTTCATCTTTTCTTGATCAGCTTGATAAACCACAAGAGCTTGTAGTTTTAGTGATTTTGAAAATGGAGGGAGAACACGTTCAATTAGAAGTCTCGTAAGCTTTTTTTCTTCAGCAGTAGGTTCGTGTTTATGAACACAAGCTGGTGTGTCTGTTTGGTTTACTGAAAGAGACGAACCTTCATCTGACGAATCCATTTTATAACTGACTGAAGTTTCCATCTATAAGTGATAAATTAGATGTTTTGCAAATAATTAGCGAAGATATTATTCATGTAGAAATAGAAGTTTGAGTGGATGTTATGAAATGTGTATGTGTACTTTTTCGTACCCATAAATCTCAGTAGGAGGAAATTAATAAACATAGAAGTTAAGTATAATACCTTTAACTATGGAAAATAAATACTACTCTAGTTCACGAGCTCTCTTAAATTTCCACTCAGTCGTTTCCACTGAAGACGTAATGAAGTCGTCCTCACTCGCTTCAGTTAAGAGACTCTTCAAATCCAGATTGTATGTGTTTATGAAAGTTTTCTAAATACAAAAATCGGAGATTAGCTAGGATTGGTTGGTTACATGAAAGAACTGATGATGAATAAAAGTGTTTGCCTTCACAACTTTCTCCATCGAACTTTTTTTAAAACGAAACAGTGTAAAATATTTGGGTGCTCAAATGTATTATTTTTAGAGTTTTGCGTTTTCCCGTGACTAATTTTTTGAGACTGAATCTTGATCAAACTGTATTGACATATGTACGCTCTGGTGGTGGCCCACAATCGCTCATAGTTATGTTTTTACAATATGTATGGATTTCGTCTAAGAGTAAATTCCTGGACGCGCACTTCACTCATTGTGGGGCCCATCAACTGGATGTACCACTATCCCAATGTTGATGTTTGGACTGGGACTCGAACACAGCACACTTTCATATTCAATGCCATCACATTTCTCGGTAAGCTAATGATTCTAGATAGCCACCAACTTTTCTAACAGGTATGAGGTTGTTATTCGTAAGGATTTGTTTCCCCGCTTTTGACACTAAGGACTGGACCTTGGTCGATATCTGCAAACTGAAATCACTTCTTGGTCAAAAATCTTAGAAAATTACAAATAAGCCAAAAAACTAGCAGTAATATATGGGGTCGGTATTTTAAATCACGAGTTTGCTTATTTTCAGCAAAATATCCACAGCATTCCTGCTCTCATCTCATAATACACTTACAGGAATGATCCATTCGCAAACGGGTCTAGAGATTTACTTTTTTACTTTGAGTAATTGCGAAATAGCAACTAATATGGAACAAGTTTGTGAATGATCATGTTTATCAAAATATTATTGAGTAGCTTAAATCATCGACCGTTATTCATCTTGAATTCTAGGAACCATTCGAATAGGCAATATTTCATTGGATTCTTGGATTAAGTGATGAAATAACTATAGAACTCAAAATCTGAATTTTGTTATGAGTAACTAGAAAGGCATACTACATAGTAGCACAACCTTTATTGAAAGTAAAATGGTCAAGTTCATTGATTCTCGAAACACGCCACATGAACATATTACATTTTAATCATCATGTCATGACTCAAGACAAATTGTTGGGTACTCAATACTGATTACACACCTCAGAAGTTAATGTTCTTTTTATTGAAAAGTATAGTGCGAAAAATTGCATTCAAACACTATGTATTTGAGTATTGTGAGTTAGTAACCTCCTAAGCAAGATCAATCAGAATAAACAAAACAATGAGCCCAGAGAGATTACTTCAAGTATTCCTTTCACTGATCCCTTGTTTTTAATGAGGGTTAGGGAAGTTGGATTGATATAAACATATTAACGTACTGCTAAGGTAGTTGATATAAGTTATCTATACCTCCAGAGTGAACAATTAATACGTATTAAGACGAGGTTTAGGTTGTTTACCCGTTATATTTCAAAACCAAATTCACGTACGACAGCATAACCTATTTTCGACACAAAGACATTTCTGAAGAGTGAATAAAAGAAAACGAAGGAGCTATCTTTCCATCATACAATATAGGATTCCATCCCATTGTTGGAACGTAGTGTGACTGAAATAATATCTCGATACATGCAGAAAACTCAATATCAAATAATAAATCCGTCTTAAGACTTTATTACAACTGTCTGCATAGGTAAGAAAACTAAGACTAGTCGAAAATGTCATCTTTTAGGGGAAGTCTAGGTGTCGTCCAGTAACAGAGGTTTGGTATATAAAAATACCGTTGTAAGAACTACCCTCATAAACTCAATAACCATTAATGTTAACAGTGTTTGTATTCACGACATAAGATGTTAAGGATTCCCATTGTGAAATTTAGAACATATATAGGTGAACAATATTTCCAACTTGATAGTGACCAGGCCTTACTACAATAAACATGAATATCTATATGGATATGTGAAAACACCAAACTAATCAAGGTAATTTATGAATCAATTACCACAATGAAATAGATAAATATTCATGTACATTGGAGTCAAGCCTGATGACGGTTTGACTGAAAACAAAACCGTTCGCTCATGGGTTGTTCTAATAATAAGGTTCCACTTTGAAAGAATGACATTTTATAATTCCTGATGAGTTCCGTTGATTGACATGATGAAGGACAGATATTCATGAAGAAATTAAAATTGAAAGCAGTTCACCACCTCGAGCTTATGTTGTCCCTTAATTTTACAGTTTGTATCGCGAAACTGAATCATTCGGATGTAACAAAAGGATAACGTCGAACATATACGATATTTAACTGGTTAGTACTTGTTTCTTGCTAAACAGTACAAGTTATATGTAATCCGTTATTACTGATTACTAGTGACACTATGACTAAAAATAACCTAGTGAGTTCAACAGACATTGAAGAATAAATGGAATCATATTCGTCGAATAAAACATGTTTAATATATAATGATGTTTTATATTGTGAAAGACAACTTACTGGATATTCAATTGAAACCGTTCAAATCTTGACGATGTTTAGGGGGTGAGAATAAAAATGAGCAATATCCACTAATCAATAATCAACTTTGCAGTGCGAAGCAGCCAGCTGTTTCTAAAGTAGGACCAAGCACAAACTAAGTATCGTTTATGCCAGGGATAGAAATATATTTGATCGATACACTCTACAACTCTTAAGGCTGTGCCTACGCAGGGTTTATATTGATTATTCCATTTTTCTAAAAAGACACAATGAGATTGGGCGCATGCATTTTGTTATGTCCAATCACAAAAAAGTCAAAGCAAGCCTAGCCCTGAGGTCAATTATATACTGTGAGCTTATTGGTGGGATGGTCAGGCGGGATGTTAGGCTTCGCCAATCACAACATTCGGCTGTCTGTGCTTAGTTATGTGGTTTTTTAATCACATATTCTGTGTTACTACACATCTTATACTTGGTCCATTTTAGCTTGGGTTCGATTTTCCTCTTACCTCTGATTTGTTGTTGGTTTCAATTTCAGATTATTGCGCAACCCTACAAATTCACTGTGAATAGTAAATGGCACTTATTTTCGCTTGGTTTCTATTTCTGTTTTATGACTATTAGTGAGTCACCAGCCTTCAATCTTTACCTTAAAAGACTCATTCCGTACTCAGTTAAAATCCCTTTAATAACTACTTCACTATATTGTAAAGTGACTGCACAAGGGATTGTTAAATTTCAGCACAGTGATTTAGTGTTGTGCTTGTTGTGATATCTAAAGGTCCTGAGTTCAATCTCATAATGGGATGATGAGTGCTTACTGCCAAAGCATCCCGAACTTTAACAAACAACAACCGATTGATACCTGATTTGAAGCAGTTCTCTACCTGGTTCTAGTTCTTATCGGAAACGAACTTCGAAAAACCTAAATTGACTCACTTTTTACCCCTACGTGCTTATATTTGCTGATTGATTCTGGAACACAAGCAAAAGTTGTAATTGTCATCAAAACTAATAATGATAATAATAATAATAACATATTCTGAAAACGACAATTACAGAATTTATGCCAGTCAACTGGCATGATCAGTTTGATACAGATATTGATATTAAATGTAGAGGACATATGGGATATTAGATTGTTTGAAGTGTTCTGCTTTGAAAATTGTTTAGGCAGTACATTCTTCTCACGTATTACGGCAATGTAAGGCGTCAGCCGCGAACTTCCTATTCTTTCTAAAGTGGATATCCTGTTGATGTATGAACAGTGTACTTAGGGTAATTTCCTGCTCCATAACGAATTGATTATACAGATCTACAACTATGGAAAATAAAGCGGAAGCAGATAGCACAGGACAACAAAAACAATGATTATTACGATAGGTCAGTCAGTGAAATCGATGGTCATTATTGAAGTCTGAGTTTATTACTCAAACCAAACATTGGGAAGGGAACTTACCAATCAAAATCTCAGTACTCTTCTGCTAGCGATGAATTTCTGGAGGAGCAACAGTCCCGGATTTGTGTCTTTGCGCCACCGGTTGCTAGGGTGCTCTTCTGCTCAGCCTTGTTGGCCAGATGCTTTGGCGGGGCTTTACCTCCGGTTGATTTGCGTGTAGTCTACTTGGTTCTTGCCAATTCGAAACACCGAGAGACGATGATGTGTTTTAGCGTGGATAACAAAAGGCAAGATGCCATCCTATCTTCCCACCAATTAGGGGTACAAATAACAAAAACGAGAGCACTGAATCCATTTGGATAGATCTATTTACAGTAAACTAGGAATGTTAGCATGCATTAACAATACGAACTGGATAACTCAATAGAGATGAAATACTAGTAGATATTATGAGAAAGGTGTTTTGAATACTTGCTCGACCAAGGCAGCCGTTGAGAAACCATAACAAAAACAACTGACGTTTTTTTAATTAATAATTAAGTAGTCAAGAATAGAATGTAAGAGAATTAAGCTACTTATGGTTGGCTTATTTACATAACATTCTTTGGCAAATACTAAAATGAGTGTTGCATTGATTTTCTTAAACATCATATACTCATTTTCCTGGGATTCATAGTCGCGAGTTTCATGAAGTTGACAATTTTTTGTAAAGTTCCCATTGTGATTGTTATATTTTGGGCCTAAGATATTCCCCACTGATTCAAACATTCTCATTTGGAAATCAAATACAACTTGGTTGGCATATACGAAATTTCATGTGTAAAGTGCAAGAATGAAATGCTAAAATTGATGCTTTAAACATGAGAAGAAGCACAGTTTCATCCGAATTGAATATACCACGAATGATATTTATTAATTAATAAAAATCAACAATCAAGCCAGCTTTTGACTTCTTTTTTTTTCAAAGCACTAATGGTTCCTTAAAACAATTTATGAACGCTTTGTTTGATAAAAACTACTGAATTTGACAGTCCTTATTTGTGAATGGTTCTTAAATTTATATGAAAAACAAGAAATCCTTAATGAATATGTATCCATCAGAACTAAATACATGAGTGGTTCGGATTATATTATTTACTGAGAAAACGTCAGTACTCGTTAGCATAGTATTGTTTGATGAATTGTTAAATCATGAAGTCAATCTCTTAAGCTACGATTAATATGGGGCCTAACCTTTTCTTACTATCACCCTATTGAATGGACACACTTACTAACTACTTGCTTTGACAGCTTCACTAAATGGTCGATAGCCATTTTACTTAACTAGGCTATAAAAATTGCTAGATGCTTCCCTGAACAACAGATATCCAATTTCGGCGTCCCATGAACCATCACTTCGGATCAAAGTTTTTAGTTAGATATTCAATTATTTCGACAGCTCACAGAAACTCTAGGAGCTAAAAGAATATGAAATTCCGATTATCATTCCGTCATAAATTGGGTGATAGAGATATTTAATCTTTGGCTCAAAGCCAGTTGGAAGTTTACTAGGAGTGGTTACAGGTGCAGTGACAAGCTTTCTCTAAAATTAGTTTGAATTCGCTCAACACCAAAACTGCACATCAATCGTTGTGCAGCTGAATTGGTATGTGGAACGATATTACGTTTTCCAAGCTAACATTTTGATCATTCAGACGCTGATGCCGTAGACATATCCAACTACTTGCAACCGGTTCGCGTACAATGTCGTATTTCATAAATCTTCATATCACAACACTTGGTTTCATACTGTTTGATGACAGGTGGGCTAATAGTGCTTGAATCTTTAGGGGATGCCGGTTTATTCTGAGAAATTTTTCTTGCATGTTGGAAGTAGTAGAGAGATTCCTTATAAAGTCAAGGATCTTAAAGGTTTCGCATTGTCTTATTTACCAGTTCCACACATATGTTAATCAGTTCCAATAAATTTGAGTTACGTATTAATAATTACTTGTGAGATTCTGGTTTTTATTTTGAAGAATTCCTATTGTTCCTGAGACCACACTAATATCTTTTACTATGAAAAGTAGCATCGCACTGAAGTGAAGCATTCTTTCTTTTCTTCTACCCACAGATCTTTTATTTCCCCGATGGATTAAATGGAATTGTTGCTTCTTCATTAATTCTTTCGATAACTTGGATGATTGCTTATCCGATGATGAAACGGTCATATCACCATATACAGAAACATTACCAAAGAGTTTACAGGTTTGTGTCGACATCTTTTTTTAAACATATCACGAAGTTGTCTTCAACTCACAATTTACTGACTGTCAAGATCAACCGATGTCTATCCAAAAATTTACAGCATAATGTCGAATAAATGAATATCGATTTAACTTCAATTCAATGTTTCTTGCTATTTGAAATAGTTGAAAATATTAAAAACAAATATAAGGTCGAATGATTCGGTTTTAACGCCACAGACTAAAAAATCTTGTCTGTAGCTACGATTAGTTTTTATTTTATTTCATCTTAATATACCCATGTAACTTTTACCCAATTTATAGTTTATTTAAAACCATCAGCTTATTTCTGAACCATTAGTAATAATAGATTTATCAAGTACAAGTTAAGTTACTTGACCGTGAGCTATGCTGTTTGTGTAAAGGCTGTTGTATTACCTAATGTCCATGTTAAATAAGCTGTTTATAGACTGAACCTTCTACCAAATAGTTGAGAGCCGAATGCTTTAACCACTAATAAATATTTCAGCCATAGATTTATCACTACTGAGATATTTTAAAATTTATCATACAGCTTTACTGTAACTATATTGAATGGAATAAAACTTTGTTTATAATTTTCATGTACATTCGAGTAATGCCAATATTATATTTTCGAATTAAAGCTAAAAAGCTTAGCCTGAGTAGGAATCAGCTGATATGGGAAATAATGGATTTCTATAGCTTCCATGTAAGCTATTTGCAACCAAGGTTCAATTATATCATTAACTAAATAACTTTATCTAGGTGCTACATAAAGATAGCTAATTTCTAGTCTGAAACTTTAATCATTATGTTTGGATTATTAGCAAGGTAGAAAATCAACTAAATCTAGTAATTCAGTCGATGAATTGTGAAGATAGTGTTTACATAGATAACAACGTACTTTCGTTCATCAGTAAATTTTATTTAGTTATTTTTACTTTATACACAATCTTCTCGTTGTGATATCTCATTAAGACTCGAACATGTCAAGAAACTGTAATTTCTTACGCATCACTATTCTAGAGACAAGCTATACTGCAGAGAACTCTAGAGCCATTTCAGTGAAATCATAGCTCCAATAGAAATGGTGTTATAAAATACGTTGATCCTAGTGACAAAACTTAAAATAAAGCTGACATGGACTTAAGACTGGATATATGTTCATAAGAATGGAAAAGAGATCTGGTGGCGATTGCAAAACATCATGAAAGTGATAACTACACATTGTCCCAGTTACAATTATCCCTTAGACTAGTTGGACAATTTAATTTTTGGAACCATTCGATACACAGAGGTTTCCCTGAGAAACTCACTGATATCTTTAAATCTCAAAATAAAAATATTTTAATTACATCAAAAAAATAATAAGTAGCTCACTTCTTCTTTTGAAATGTGAAATGAAATTATAAGATATTTACTAAGTTCACATCATTATTCCTAAACGAACAGTAAAAATACGTGATGAAGGCAAATGTTTTTGTACCTCTGTTAGATTGTCTAGGAGAAGACTAAGATCTTTAATTTGTTATATGAATCATGGGATGGAGAATAAATTTTTGATGCCAGAGTTTATGCTATATAAATGTGTAATATAACCCTGTAGATATTAATAGTTTATAACCTATTCTATACTATGAGTTAATTGAATCAGTTATATAATACATA